GTGGTTGCTTCCATTCTGCTGATAGCCCAGAGAGTGTGTGTAAGGACTTGTCATTGGCCATCAGACTTTCTTTGGGGTGCATCTCCTTCTGCACAATGCACCAGTTCTATATGGTGAACCTGAGCCAGGTGGCCTCAGGGTCATCAGCTCCTGTTTCATTGGCTGGGGCTTATCTTGCTCTGGCAAATAGTTGGCCTTCCCTACTGGCCCAAGGGTTTCAAAAGCTGACAGGTCATGAGAGTTCTTGTGTTCAGGGCCAGTTGATCCTCATACTGGCTTCTTGGCTAGCAACAGAGTTCTGCAAAGGTCAGCTGCTAGTAGTTCAGATGGAGGGGGAAGTATATTCAGCATGCATTGGTGGTACTGATGGAGTATTCAGCATTGGTTGTATCTTGTACTGATAAGGCAGTAATGCCCTCAGTTGATCTTCAGAGTGTGTCCTGTTATAAATATAAATTGCATGGTTAGTAGCCATGTATTGTAATAAATGTCTTTTTCCTTCATTGTCCACATTCAGATATTTTCTTCCCAATAGAGCTATCAGCCAACTAATGTCCCTCCATAACAGAGCCATCTCTTTCTGATACAACTCCTTGAACTCCTGTTGATGGGTGTAGTCTATTTCTTCTTTTAGCACCTCCTTGTCCATGTCTCTATATTGTAGCCAGGGGTCAATCTCTATCAGGAGATCTTTTTCATCCTCATCTGACCCTTCCTCCTCACTGTCCTCCTCACTGTCTTCTGAGAAGTCATCAGGCAGCTTGTAGGTGGGCAGCTCAGAGGCTCAGACCATTGCTGGAGATCTCTCTGTCAGCTCAAGCTTGAGTGTCAATACTGATGGTTCAAGTAGAAGGCTGTCAGCTGGATCAAGAGAGCCTGGCCCTTTCAGCTCACTGGTCCCTCTGCAACTCTCTCTCTCTCTCTCCACTCCTTTGTTATATTGGTGAAAGTCATTGTAGAAGTCATGGTTGAAAAAGAGGGTGGTGATACATTCATGTAGGAATTGTCAGAGGGCTTGGTCAGAGATCCTGGTCCCAGAAGAGACTCATATCCCATATTTGTCAAGGATGGAGCTGGCATCAGAGGGTAAGGAGCTGCTGCTCCTGGTACTTTCTTCATATGTGGAAGGCAGGGGTTCATAGTCATCAAGGTTTCTGGCCTCATCTGTGGTGAGGACTTAGGCATTGGCTCAGCAGTCCCTGAACCAGAGATTGTCCTCATTGTCAGGGCCCTACTCTCAGGGTCCACTGTCATTACTGTTGGTAGGGCTGGGGAGCAGAGGATCAGTGACCCTGATCTGCTGGGCTTCTTCAGCAGTGGTTTCTGGGAATGTATCTCCTTCCTCTTTATAATATATATCTCCTTCTGCTCCTTTGTATAGCCCATAATGTTCTGCTGAGGCAGAGCCCCACTCTGCTGCTTGTTCTTCTCTAGCTTGCTGTCAGTACTGCTCAGTGTAGTAGGCCTTATCAGTCTCCCACTGCTGACGATTGAGCTCCCTTTCTTCTGTATCCAGCCAGTCAAAGATTCCTGGATCATTGAAGTCATATTCCTCAGCTTCTGCTTCTCTTTGTGCAAGTATGTTGATGTTGTGCTCATAGAGATCACTGGAGGTTGAGAGGAGCAAGCTGGAGGTCTGTGGAATGGGACTTTCTCAGGGGGTGGCATATCTGGACCTCCTTCCTACAAGTCTTCCAACCTCTATAATAGAGTCTTGGGCATGATCTCCAATGCCAGGCTCATGGAGAGTGGTGGAAAGGTCAGAGGATGGCAACTCCTCAAAGAAGTTGTTGGAGAGGTCTTCATCTTCATGGTTTGAGACAGCTGGTGGAATCCAGGGGTTTCTGAATTCCATATTTGGATGCTCATTTTGTCTGCCAGCTGCTCAAGGAGGTCCATCTGTTCATTGGAGTTCTTCCTGAGGGCACCTTTCATTCAGGCCACTAGGCTGAGTTTTGGATATAGTTTCAGGCATGGACTGAAAGGAGGTTCTGACAGAGAGGAGGTTGTCATGAAGGGGAAGGTTGGGGGTAACATTTCATAGTATCTGTTGAATTTGCCTAAAGGATTGGTAGTGTCTGACTACCTAAGCTGTGACTGATTGATGTCTGCAGCAAAGCTGAATGATGGCAAGTAGTCTTAGAAGTGTTCTTATGATGGAAGCTAATAGCTTAAAGAAGTTGTCAGTGAGATCAGTAGTTATAATGTTGATAGAGGGCATTCAGTCTCCTTTTCTTGTGATGGGCATAAGAAAAGGGAAATAGAAGTCTCAAACTAATTGTTGGATCCAAGTGACATGTGATCAATAACATATGGTAAATAAGCACTGTATCATGTTTGTACAATCATGCTTAAGTCCACTTTAGTGTGTTTAGAGATGTTGAGTCTCAAGGTCAATGCTAGTTGACTTGAGTAAAGTGATAGAATAAAGAATAGTTTAAGACTAGAGTTACATGGCATTGGCTATGCTACTTATATATCATTCATCTTCTAGATAAATATAGCACTACTAATTGTGAGTGTCTGTCCTATAGTATTTGTTGTCTTAGGATGCCATGGTTATCTAAAAAAGGGAGATTGTCCTGTTGTCAGGGCATCACTATGTGTCATGAAGCAATGGTTGATGTGCTGACTAAGATTGTCTCATAGTTTAAGCACTGGTCTAGGTGCCCTGACTAAGCATAAATAGGAGTAAAAGAGGAAAATAAAAGGTGAAAAATCATAACAGGAACCTCATCATATATAGTATCATTCCTCCTCAGATGTGACCAGTGCTAGTGCAGGCCCTCTCTCCAATACCCTCCATATCCAGTTCATCTTCCTCTACTACTATTGTAGCCCTTCCTGAGATGCTCAAAGAGTGTCTGCAAATGTATTTTGCCAAAGTGTGTTGCCTGGTCTATCTTGGTGAGTGGCTTCTATGATATTAAGCAGATGGTGCTTACTTTAATGGGTAGTGAAACAGTTGCAAGAGGCAAACAAGTGTTGTGTTTCAGACTGGGAGTACCCTGACTATCTTACTGATTCTGTCACAAAAGAGTGGGTGACTCTGTTAGAGGTGTTCAAGATATTTGAGGAGGAATTTAAAGAGGAGGAAAAAGCAAATTAGCCAATTTAGAGTGTGCAGTGATGTCAGTTTCTAGATGGTAAGAATCTTCTAACACATTTACTCTTTCAACATTGACTGATTGAATTCATTGTAGTGGTCAATATTGTCCTTGAGAGATTGAAAGGCAAAAGGGAGATTACTATCCAGATGATGAGGGAGAATTTGCTAGACTGACACTTTCTTGGCTGAAGTTTGTCATTATCTACATTACTATTCAGGTTTTCACTTATGCTGCACTCACTATGTTATATGAACATATCTCTATTGCATTCTCCCTGAACTTCTCAGTGTACATTTGATTTTGTTCTCTGAGAGAACACACTCAAAAATATTGGTTAAGTTGCTACATACTTAAGAAATGACATATTCCAGTGATGAGGGAATCATGCACAATGGAGGGTCTTAGACAACTTGATCATTGACAAATAGCAACCAAATTTGAAAATAGTGATGATGCATCAGCAGCTTATAGGTTCCAACACTTTGAGCTATGTGGGTGGAGGACACTTGTTTATAGCAACTTTACTTGTCAGGGGGTTTATCTACTGATATGTGTGACTCATAGGTGCAGCATCTCTTTAATCAGCATTAATGCAAGACAGACACACTGGAGTTGTATATCCAGCCCATCAAATCTTGGCCAGAGACTGGGAGATGGTTGATGAATCAGCAGAGGATGGCACTGACTCTGTTGCCCACACTGTGTGGACCTTCCTTGCAAGAGCAATCATTAGACCACTTCAGCAGATGGTCAAGCATCTGATATTCCAGTGTGTTTCTTGTTACTCTGAATATGAAATACACTTTCTTATAAGGTTTCCTTCTGTTTAGCCATGAGGTGGAGCATATTGAAGCCTTTGTTGACATTTTCATACCGGTGCTAGAGATACTGTTTGCAGAAAGGATTGCATGAATGACTAATGTCATGGTGACTCTTCCAGAGAGACACCTCCTGAGATTGGCTGATGGTGTTGATGATTTGTGAGCATTGATATCATGTCTTCTCATCATTCTACATAAACTTTCCAGTACAGATTAAAGGAGATCTCTTAATAGTGCTTTAATATCCTTTAGAATACCACACTTTCATCTCATAGTATGCTCATGAATCACTTCTTATGCACCACATTCTATTTCAATACCTAAGTTAATGTTGACATGCAAAGGCTCCAATTGTAAGAGATATAGACCTCATATGCATATCTCTGTTTACCAACATCCTTCTATGCCTATTGATCTTTTGTAGTGATCACTTAGCATCTTAATCACTTACTATCACCTATGTCTACCTTACTTCTTTGTATCTCTGACTCTTTACTTTCAGTACTTCCTGTTGGCATATGTAGCTTTTGGGTCAAGGAACCCCATAAGGTATCATATTCTTTACTCTGAGGCATACTTTTCCAGATAACAAACAAACACCTGAGGTCCTGGGGGTGTACAGCACCACAATGATGTTGCCACTAATTGACTTTAACTTATGATGGTTTGAGTGGCATGATGAATAATACCCTTGAAGTTCTACAGCACCAGATGGAGAACTCAAAGAATATATATATTATGCTCACTACAGCACTTCTTCATCAAACATACTGAAGTGAGAGGAACACACTATATGATTTCATTCCAAGAAGGATGCCAGACCAGCTTTCTCACAGTAGAAATCAATGTTGCTTATTCAGGACATCTCTGCCACTCCTGCTGAAAGAAAATGACATGTCAGCTGCCAGCAAACCAACCAAATGTATTAGTCTTACTCTAAAATATTAGTGATAAAGTTTCTCCCTCATAGCTCTTATAAAGCAGCCAGATGAAGAGCCTGCACTTGTGGTCACTTCAGCAAGATCTTCTTGCTCTCTATTATAAGGTACCACAGAGGTGTATGCTCATGTCAATATAAAGCCAAGGCAATGACCATCTTCAGATTTAGGGTATCAAATGCCTGATTAAGCTCAAGCTCTTTAAGCCTGAGAAGGATTAATGGTGAGGTGCTAAGGGCTGATAAGAGCAGTGAAATGTCTCCATCAAAGAATGCAGTGTTCAGTTCTCATAGCATTGGTAGACTTGAGAACATGTCAACAAGAGACATAGAGAATGATTGGAAGAGAAAACACAAGGTTTCAAGAGAACAGCCTGACTGACTGACAAATGCTGTGAAGTTGTTGGCATTGTTCTTGCTGACAATATTATTGATACAGAGATTGGTGAGAGTGAAGAGCATCAAACAAGAAAAGGATGATATATCTGGGGCCTCAAATGTGGCCAAGGATGCATGGACAAGAGGATAGGAATGGGCCACAGAGGTCATGTGCCATTTGTCATAAATTTGGAATTCAAGAGTTTGGAGCTGCAGGGATTCACAAAGAATAATGAACTGCTCTTTGACAATGAGACCAGAGGTGGTAAATGTGGTAATCTGTGACCAAGGTAGGTCATTTGTTACCAACAAGTCCATATGGATGTCATTCAACATGGGTGCCCTATCAAAGAACCCAGCAGGTAGGGCTTGCCAGAAAGGCATATCAAAGACCAAGCAAAACAACTCAAGAATGGGATAATTGGCTGGAGCAACCATGGAAAAGAATTCTAGAGCTGACATGCTGAAAAAGCCTTTGAGGATGATGCTGACAGTCTTCCAGTGGTGACACTCATTGCTGAGAGTCAGATACACCTCCTTCATCTGATCAGGATCCATGTAAAAAGAGATGAGATGAATGGTGAGGGGTGTCATTCCAGAATGAGCTAAAGCAGCTTTTAATATTGGGATAGTGTCCATATCATATTCATCAACTGTAATAGAGAACCAGAGGGAAGGGAGGAATAGGATGAGTGTTTGCAAACATGACCTAGGATCTAAGGGAGTTGTGTGATGCTAGTGAGACAGTTTGGGTGATCCATTGATATGCAGGCTACATGTCCAGCCCTATAATTTGCAAATTCTGCATAACACACTAGAATATGCTAGTAACTGAGGATCATTAGCCAGTAGAGGACTATGGCTGAGGCTCTGAGCTGATAGTCATGCTAGTCACCAATACTAAGTCCAAAAGAGACTTTGGAAAATAACATGGCCTAAGGATAAAAGTCCTAAGTCAGATTTAAACTTAGAAAAGTTCAGCACCACACCTTGGAAAATACTAAGTCCAAGTTGGACTTAGAAATGGTACCTCAAATAGAGCCAATTCTACATGCCACTAAGACAAGTATATTCTAAGACAGTGTAGAGGATTCACCTGCTCTAGACCATTTCTTTGACCATTTCCTTTGTTACTTACTCTGCTTTTACTTTTCTTTGTCTGTACAGTGTTTACTTGTCACCATTAGTTAGCCTTCCCCTTTCTTTCAATATTTTACATTGTCTTATTACATGCCACTCCACAAATAGTATAAGTACATAGCTACTTAGTACCAATAGAACCCATCTCCCCCCATCTTCTCTGGTGTCCATCCATATCTTAAAGTGTAATAGCCAAGCCTTTACCTACAACAGCTAGAGGTATAATACCATAGCCAGTTATGGAGTATTGAGTAAAGATAGCATCATCCAGGAGCAGTAAGAAGAGAGACCCAATGATCTGTGGCTAACACTCTGAGTTTGACTCAAATGCCTAAGTCTGAATTTTCTAGATATCAGGTGACCTAAGAGACTTAGAATTGAGAGGAATAGAGTAGATAGGACCGGTTGACCGGGCCTGACCAGGTCTGATCGATTGAGCTACTAAGAATAACTCAGAGGATTAAAACTCTGAGTAGACAGAAAGGAGTTAGGTATCCACAGGCACTGTAGGCTTAAAATAAAGCTGTGCAGTGGCCAGGCAGGTCGGGGAAAGCATAGGGGAGTCCAAGAGCACTGCCATTCTGGAATAATGGTGTGATTCCGCTTTAAACAGGAGAAATATTATTTTGAATGCTTTATTTATAGATTCTATATCTGTTATTGGTGTATAAAAGAAGGGAATGGGAGGGAAATAGCAAGCAAGCAACCCACCCCCACATTCAGGCCTTCTAGCCCACTGTAGCTAGTCTCTGGGACAACAGATTTTGAGTTCTGCTTCGACTTAGTGATTTATTTAAGTTGCTTTGTCACTTAGAGAGGATTGGATTGGAATAATAACTGTATTTTGGGTTTTGGATTAATTTAGGTTCCAAACTATAAGGGTTTCAGCATCAGAGTACAAGTTCTTTGGTTTTGAGGACCGCTAGCCAGCCAAGAGTGCAGCTAGTCAAGCCTAAATGCTTGGTAGACTTAGTATTTGAGTTTTGGAGTTCATTGGGTTTTGTAATATTCTGAGTTGATTTGGAGCGCAATTGTGCATTGATTCTAAGTCCTAATTATACTTAAACATTGCTATAAACTACTCTCATGAGTATTGCATCTTTGAAAGCAAGATAGAGTTGAATAACTGTCTTTATTAACTGTTTCTTTGATTTTACTTAAGACTGCAAGAGTGCTTTTATTGTACTCGAAACAACCAACCTCAACTGTATTTGGTGATTGTGTATTGAGTGGTTAGATGTTGGTGTTTGAGAGTTTATTCCTCATTCACCTCTCTTAGTCACTTAGCCATTACCAAGCACATCAACAATGTAAATGCTGAAAGATTCCATTCAAGTTACTGGATGAAGATCCAGATGACAGATGGGATGAAGAGATGGAGGATGGTGAGACTCTTCTTGTCATGGATATTCAGAATGCCCTTCACATAAGGGCTATACATCATGCCAATGATCTAGCCACTAAGGCAGCAGCAGAAAAAGAGGAGAAGATGTTCAAAGAAATAGTGCCCAAATGGGCCTGAGACTACAAAGACCTCTTTGAAAAGGAGAGTTTTGATGAACTCCTGGAGCTCAAGCCTTGGGACCATGCCATTGAGTTAATTCCCAATGCCAATGCCAATCTTGACTGCAAGACATACCCCCTCAGAAATTATGAGCAACAAGAACTTGACAAGTTCCTGGACAAAAACTTGTCCAGCAGGAGGATCAGGCTGTCAAAATCACCTATGGCCTCATCATTCTTTTTTGTCAAAAAGAAGGATGGTAAACTCTGACCTGTCCAGGACTATCAGAAGTTCAATAAAATGATGATCAAGAACTGATACCCCTCCCATTGATCTCAGAACTGATGGATAAACTGTGAGAGGCTAAATATTACACCAAACTAGACATGCAATGGGGATATAATAATGTCCACATCAAGGAAGGTGATGAATAGAAGGCCACCTTCAGAATGAATTGAGAGTTGTTTGAGCCTACCATCATGTTCTTCAGACTCACAAACTCACCTGCCACTTTTCAATGGATGATGAACAACATCTTCAAAGAACTCATTGCCACTAGAAAGGTGACAATCTACTTTGACAATATCCTCATCATGTTGAAAACAAAGAAGGAGCACAGAAAGCTAGTGCAACAGATCCTAGCCCTAATGAGAAAACACAAATTGTTCCTCAAGTGGAGAAATGTGACTTTGAGGTACAGGAGACAGAGTATCTGGGTGTTATCATCAGCAAAGAAAGCATCTGCATGAACCATATCAAAGTGGCTGGAGTGGTTGAGTGGCCAGAACTAACAAAGAAAAAGAAATTACAATCCTTTCTAGGATTTATCAATTTCCACCAATGGTTCATATGAGACTACAGCAAAATTGTCCAACCAATGACATAACTAACTGGCAATGCCCTCTGGACATGGGGACCATCATAACAGGCTGCATTCAACAACCTAAAATGCTGACTCACAGAGGATGTAGTGTTAGCCATCTCAAGCCAAGATAATCAATTCCAGCTAAAAGCTGACTTGAGCAAGAGAGTGATAGAAGCTGTCCTATCCCAGGAACAAGATGAGAAGTGGCAACCAGTCACCTTCTTCTCTAAAGCTCTAACTATGACTGAGAGGAATTACAAGATCTATGACAAGGAGTTACTCACAATAATGCATGCTCTAGAAGAATGGTGACACTACCTCATCAGTGCCACCAAAGTTTTTGAGATTTGGACAGACCATCAGAATCTCAGGTATTTCTGACAACTGCAGAAACTAAATTAATAGCAAGCCCATTGGGTAACAGAGTTGAGCCAATACTCCTATACCTTACACTACAAGGCAGAGACAGCAAACAAGAAAGCTGACCTTCTTAGCCAATGGGTAAATCACAACCAAGGAGGGCATGACAACAAGAGAGTCACCTTATTAAAACTAGAACATTTTAGGGTGATGAATATGCCAATGGAGAAGGAGATCCATGAATGGATCAAAAGCAGCACCAGAGACACAGGCAAATGGTACCAACATATGGCCCTATCCCTGAATCATGAAAGGGGGATGATGAAAGAAGGAGGACTAATTTGTTATGATGGATGAATCTATATTCCTCAGGACCAAAGCCTGCAGAGTGAGATCATCACCACATGTCATGACCATGCAACCAAGGGACACTCAGAAATTGCTAAGACTAAAAAACTAGTCCTATGTGAGTATTATTGGCTGAAGATGGGACAAGACATTGAATGCTATATCAAAGGATGTGAGATCTGTCAATGAGGAAAGTCCTCAACCCAAGTGCATCCAGTGCCACTCCATCCAAATAAGATACCACAAATGCCCTGGATGCATATCTTCATAGATATGATCATCAGGCTACTAGACTGTAATGGCTATGATGCAATTATTGTCATCATCAACAGGTTCTCTAAAGTGATCATCCTGATCACTTGTTCAATGGAACTCCTGAGGGCTGGGCCAAAATCCTATGATACAAAGTCTATGTCAAACATGAGATGCCCCAAGTAGTCATTTCTGACAGAGAACCACAGTTCATCTCCAAATTCATGGATGACCTATACCATCTACTTAACATCCATCAAAATGCATTGACCACATACCATCCACAAACTGATGGGCAGACTGAAAGGGCTAATCAAGAGATAGAAAAATATCTCCACCTCTTCATCAACTATTAACAGGATGACTGGATCAAATGGCTAGCTCTCACCACCTTTCAACATAACAACTGCATTCACTCTGCTACTAGAAAATCACCATTCTTCATCAACCATGAATGGCACCCCAATGTTGCCCATACAACACATACCCACATTACTACTCTCACATCTGCAGACTTTGCCACTATGATGGCAAAAATCCATGATGAGACATGCACCACCCTTAAGAAGGCCATGTCTAATATGAAAACACAATATGACAAACATTGCTAGATGGCACATAAGTACCACATACATGATAAAGTCTGGCTGGATACAACTAATCTCCATCTACCATGACCAAAATGGAAGCTATCAGACAAATGCACCAGTCTCTTCCAGGTACTCACCAAAGTTGGTGCAGCAGCTTACTGACTCCAACTTCCCACCTATTAGAAGATACATGATGTCTTTAATGAATCTTTATTAACACCATATATCATGCCAGCATTCTCCAATCAAGAACAGCCTCCTCCACCACCTCCTGACTTGATCAATGACAAAGAAAACTATGAAATTGATCAGATTCTAAACTATAAATTATGCAAGGTAAAGGCATGAGGGGGGGGGAATGATCACAATGGTAGATTACCTGGTTAATGTTAGAAACATGCCAATCAAGTGAGTTTGAGTGTACACACAGAGACCAGCAGAGTGCATGAGTGTCAATGAAGCTATTGACAGTGTCACCCTTGAGTCAGAGCCCAAGGAT